AGCTGCAGCACACTGCTGACTCATATTTAAGTGATTGCCCACTAGGACATTTCACTAAATACGTCTTATTTTAATGGGTCTGCTTTTGTTAAAGTCCTTCTTTCCACCCTTCTGTAACAGATTTTCAAAAGTTACTTTAAAAAAACCTTTCCATTTGGAAAGATCTTGGTTTTCAAAGGCCTGATTTAGTCAAATGATTTTTAACCAGCACTGGTTTAATTATTTCTAAAGCTACAGTTTTGTGGCATGCTATTGTTTGTTAAACAATTTAAAAAGTTTAATGTCATTTCAACCTTTTTAACAATAAAGGCAAGGTAAAAATATTTCAATAAATAAATATTTCTACCCATGGTATTGCGAGAATGTGTGACACAACTACATAAATAATTCTGCTACTTGTAAAAAATTCCCTTCTCTAGCTTCTCTATAAATCCTGATGGAAAAACTAAAAGGTGCTAGTGGAAATTTCCAACCCACAATCTCCTAGAAAGTCGAAAAATATTCTCCAAGTTAAATATTCCTGTTCCATTAAATTAAATTAAATTAAATTAAATTAAATTAAATTAAATCTATGCCACATAATGGCTTTCTTCCAATAAACATAGTATATAATCTGACACTTATTTTGTTGACATCATGGGGTGCAATACCTCAGTGGTTAACGATATTGAGCTTGTTAGCTGAAAAGTTCCCATTACTTGCCCCAGTTCCTGCCCACCTAGCAGTCTGAAAGGATGCAAATGTGAGTAAATAAATAGGTACCATTTTGGTGGGAAGATAATAGTATTCCATGCCCCTCAGTGTATAGTCATGCTGGCCACATGACCATGGAAGCATCTTTGGACAATGCTGGCTCCCTCAGCTAACAAATGGAGATGAGCACCACCACCTCCCAGAGTTGGAAACGACTGGAAAGGGGAAACCTTTACTTTTACTTCTGTTGATATCAGTTGGCAATACTAATATGAGGCAAGTAGGCTATGAATAAACACACAGAGACAGACATACATGCATACATATACAAAGAAGCCTGTGCATTGCCTATGACTTTTATGTAAATTACCCAGAATCTCTGGGAGCCATGTAGTATATAAATATAGCATTAATATAAATGTATTATAATATACACAACAGTGTGAAATTCATAGCTGCCAGTCCTTTAACTTGTATTGACCTTCCTTATTCTTATGATTGGTCATACAATCAGCCAGATGTTTGGATTTGGAAGTTTTATCCAACTACTGAGTTTTATCCAACTATCGAGTCCCTTCTCTGGCAGATCTGGGAAAATGACTATTTTACTACAAGCTTCTGTGGATGGAAGCTAAAACAAGTGGGCTTTCCTTATTGACTGCTGTAAAATGAAATAGGGTTGAGTCGCATGAGGGATAAATAAATTCTGTTTAACCTGTAAAAGTTTCTTTAAAAATCAAAGGCCATCCTTTCAAGCCTATGGAATGCCCTTGGCCAGTTAGCCCAAACTGGTGCCTTTAAACATGTTGGATTACAATTTCCCATATCCCTAGCCAGCACAAACAATGAAAGACCAAAATATTGGAAGGGTACCAGGTTCCAAAAAGCTGAAATATATAACATTCAACAAATGATGAAATGAACTCTTTATAATTAGTGCAAAGAAAGTTACATAAAAGCACATGTTTGGGTCCATTTAGCCCAGATTTGATTTTTCAACTTTCTAGTAATAAATCAGGCGCTGTTTTACATTTAGGTCCATATCATACCACTGAGACATAGGACTATATTTTTTTTCCTAATGCCCATAATAATTTCTTGACAATCTCTCATTTGGCCCAAATTAATTAAATGGTCATTCAGTATGACAGGCAGGAAGCAAGAAAAGCTATTACAGAATGGAGAACAATATAATATTGTACTATAGTACTATATTGTAATATAATACTGTACTGAGAAGGACTTGTATCTTACAAAATTCAGGCTGTCAGCTAGAAGAGGACAAATATTTGCTTAGCCAAAGGTTAGGATTAACTGTAATGATCTACATGTTAAAGGAGGAACATTGCTGAATTTGCTCTTGATGTTAAGAGATATTTAAAAGTGAAACAATTTTCTGGAAGGTGAATAATCAAGTCTTCTTTTTTAAAATGCTGAAGTCTCCTTTAAGTTGAGCTAGATTCTTGCTGATTTTATGGAGGCATACATTTAGTTACCTTGGCAACAATTGGGAAATAATTTGCCATTTCCTTCTTCCAGGAAGGGTTTTTTATTTTTATTTTAAAAATCCCAGTTTAGCCTATAGCCCTAATATTCCTTGAAGACCTCACATATAGATACTAACAAGCTGCTTTGCCGCTGAGCCCAGACAATGCCTGTCTCCACTACTAGACATCTTTAGACAAGGCTAGCTTGTCATCTAGGAGGTAACCCAACTCTGAATTTCATGTGTCAAGCTGATTCTATGAGATGAATGAAGAACAGAGCTGCACACTCATCACAGCTTCGCAAGAGCTCCACAGGGGAAGGCCAATGTGTCTGTGGAGGCCGAGGCACTTCAGGAGAAAGAGGTTAAAGGAATATTGTTTCTCCACTGTTATACACAACTAAGAAGTGCAGCCAAGCTCTCCATCAGATTGAAGAACAGCATTTCAACCTCCTTTCAAGTTAATGTCAAGTGAATCCATCTGATTAACATCCTCGAGAGAGAAAAAACAAAAACGAAGAACATATACTGCTTCTCAGGATACTATTCCATAAGCAAGTTAGCATATCAACAAAGTATATTAGTCTTTATGTTGCTACAGAGTGTTTGTAATGTTTTTGTTGCTAAAAATAAGTGATTTTTTTTTTTATCAGTAATCATTAAGGAACCTGATCTACATGCAGGTTTTGTGTGCTTGGACCCTCAGAATCTCTCTAGACCTGATCACAGAAACTCAGACTGTACAACATGATTTTGCTTTCTTTTTATTTATTTGCTAAAATACCCAGCAATATAGTTATCTGACACTACTAGGACTAATACATCTATTTGATTTTAAATCCATCCTCAAGGGATGGGTTTCATCAGAAGGATGAAAATTTTGATAGAAACCCTCTAGTAACGTCATTGTCTCACCCCAGTGCCCTCTGTGTAATTCACAAGCAGGCTGTTGGCTTTTTTTTTTTTTAATGCAGCCTCCGGCTACAAACATTTGCCTGCCCATGATCCAAATGACATCTCAAGACTTGAACAGAGCCATTTTGTTATGTAAAATGTCTTGTTTCCATCCCACATACTGTATGTGTGTTGGGGGGGGGGAGGGATTTTCAATCAATGCATTTGACTCAAACATTTTATATATCTTTTGAGCAAAGTTTGAGTTAGATGCATTGATTGAAAATCCAGTCTGAAGTCAATGAACACAGAAGGAAAGATTTTACACATCTCATCCGGGTAATCATTGGGTTTTTTTTTTCTTCAGTCATGAAACAGAAGCTTCAGGAAGAAAAAAAAATCTACCTGTCCCTCACCGCCCTGTATTTCCTCTCCATTTGCAGCTCAATTGTTATTTTCCTAAATAAAAAAAATCATGGAACTCTGTTTATTACCCAATTTGTGTTTCAATATAACTTTTTCCTAGACATACAGTGCATTAAAAACCCACACTAGATCTTATTTAAAGAAAGAAAGAAAACTGGAATTTCCAAAGGGAAATTAGCTACCAGAAAGCAAGTAGAGTTATTATCATACTGTTATTATCTTTTTGGGTCTTACATGGGGGAGGAGAGCATCAGTGCTCTCTATGGAATGCTTCTGCATAATTCAGAACATGTGGAAATATATCTGACATTGAAAACAACTAGTGTTCCTGTCATAATTTCTTTTTCTGTTCCTCCCACCATCATTCTCTTTCAGTTTGATTAGAAACATCTGCTTTGATTCTCTCCACACCAAAACATTGAATGAAATTTTCAAGAAGTTGGGAATACTTACATAGAATTTAAAAAGTGTGTATTAATGTTCCCTCTTTCATTGTAAAATCATTTCTGGCTTCTCAGATTTAAATCCCAAAGAAGGATATCACAGGAAAAATCCTTATGTTAAGATTGTGGGATTGTTTCCTTTTTTTTTTTTTTTTAATTTTCCAGACTGGGAAATGTGGACAGCCAAGGAGTTTTCAGAGTGATGGAAAGATGTGCAGGGAAAGAAACCATTTAAGAAATAACTTTAAAGTAGTTTCCTATGGCCATATCAAGAGATAAATTTAAGAGGATTCCAAATATGATAAATGCAATTATATTAATTATATATTATGTCTGAAACTGAGGGCAGATTTCTTTAAACAAATCTTCTCAAGGTGAATTATATAAACTAAGCATAATGTATGATGCTCTATAGTGAAGAGAAAGTGTATATTGCCCTTGAAATGTTTTGTTTGCATTTCATCTATGAGCACTTCAATGAGACTTTATGACTGCAGAATTACATAAAGTTCTATTAAGTGCAATAGAAAGGAATGTTGTTAACATGTTTAAACCAAAACGTTATCAGGATGCAGGAGTTGGCAGGAGCTGAGATGAAAACAGGAGCTCACCCTGTCGCATAGTGTTTAGGTCTTGACCCTGTCAGCTTTCTAGCCAGAGTCATAACCCCTGAGCCACTATGCCGCCCTAAAGAAATTGGACAAAATTTCTTTAGGGAAAAAAGATACAAGTACTTTTTGCAGGTGAAGAATGACTGATGAAATCTCACAACAGATTTTGATAAACAGTTAATATAAAATCCAGCTCATTTTGAATTGCTGCTTTCTGCAATTCCTCACCATTTTCCCTTGCCAAACGGCCAATATCATAGAATACTGTAGGAGCAAAGAAACAAAAGAGTAACAGCCAGAGTTTGGGAGGTGACAATTTTGAAATTGTCATCTGAGATTGGCCACAAAGAAGATGACATCTGTGGACTGCATCCATGATGGCTGGATTGTCATTTTGCAGCATTGGTGGTGCCTCTTTTCCTACAACTGCTTTTGCAAAATACATACCTCAAATATGCGAAGAATTTTGGCCAAAGCTCCAACTTCTTCTTTGAGGGAAAAAATCAGAGAGATTGCATCATTCTGGGAAGTGTTCTCTTCAATGTACCTGGATTCCTATATAATAAATATGAAATTAATTACAAGGCTTCGGTGTCTGGAAACTAATTGCATCTACTCTGAGTTCTAAAATGGAATCTGGCTAGCTGTTTTACACTCAATTTTTCCAAGTTTTTTTTATAACTTGCATCCACCTTAACTCACATATAAGCAGACTGATTAAAAAAAGGTTTTTTAAAGGTTAAATGTGTTTAAAATGATAGTTGTTGCCATTGGCTTGTTCCTTAGGGATGGGGGAGCAGCCTCTATTGCCACAAGCTTCATAAAATTTGAATTGCAAATACTATATACTGAGTGGGAATGGAAGGAGGTTGCTGTGAAACAGTGAGTTGAATTACTCCATTTGTAAGATATCCCTCTGTTCTTAGGTTTGGCAAATGATTAGAAGCTTGCTTTTTTAAAATGCACAAAAAAATAAATCTAATGTCTACCTCCTCCTTCTCAGTTTTATTCGTATTGCCAGTCTTCCTTGCTACTTTCTTAAGCTACATGTGTTGAGTCTGAGACAAGAGAACTTCTTGTTAAATTACCTATACTTTTTTCAGCGCTTATCATTTGTAGCATTAATCCACTGGCCCAGATCAAGCCTGTGAAGCTCATGAAGCATACTTATTAAATGTCAGACAAAGGTTCAGCTAGAACTATTCAATGGCTCTTGGTAAATAGAAATGTCTGTTTTCAGTAAATGTTTGTTACAAAAAGGGGGGGGGGGAAATCAGCTCAAACCATTTTGGTTAAATTCTTCATGTTGGAGAGCAAATTGCATGGTCAATAAATTTTAGGACTAGGGTGAGAAAAATATCTTGACACAAAAATGAAGTTCTTTATTGCTTCATTGCTAGAAGCAATCTTCACAATTAAGCAATTGTGAAGAAATTAAGCATATCCAAAGACTGGGAGGAAGGAGGGTTATACCCTCTTATGAGGAAAATTTTGAACAAATCCAGAGTTACTACATTTATCCCAGCAGGGCACATTTGATGTTTTGTACATCCTTTATTTTTATTCTTGGAAAATCAGGAATTCATTAGTGGATTTCACTGTGGTATTTGTTTAGTTCCACTTTAGTTAATATGGAAAAACAGCTTTTTAAAAAGAAGCCAGAATAAAGTGATAGAGTCCCATCCACAAAAGCCATGGAACTACTAAACTGTTTGAAGAAAAAGAAACAGCAGCAGCTAAAAGTCCATTAATATTAAATATTTCCATTCAGAAATTATCCGAGCTGAAGGAAGCCTCTGAAATAGGGACAATTCAATGCAATTGAAAGGTAAATCTGCTATTTGTTTTCATAGTCTAGGTCAGTGGTAGCGAACCTATGGCACGTGTGCCAGAGGGGGCACTTGGAGCCCTCTCTGTGGGCACACATGCCGTTGCCCCAGGCCCGCCTCCCCTGTGGCCCCCTCCTCACCAGCAGCCCCCGGAGAGTCATCCCTGGGCACAGCCCACGCAGAGCAGCGCAGTCAGGGACATGGCAGCTGGGCAGCAGGGACAATGATGCTGCGTGGTATGGGCAGGGGGCATGGCCATCATGGCACTGCAGGGCCATCTGGGCAATCTGCTGCAGTGGGCTGGCCCTGTGGGCAGGCCGGGGGCAGGGCGGGGCAGGCTGGGGGGCAGGGCAGTTTTTGAGCACTCAGTCTCAAAAGGTTCGCCATCACTGGTCTATGTACATAGGAAGAGACTGAAGCACCTTCAGGTTTCTCTGCTTTCAAATGCATCCAACTGTTAGATAAATCTTGATCTAGCTTTTAACTCCAAAGACCAGAATTATGCATGCTAAAGTATTCCCTGTGATACATTATGAAAACAAAAGTTGGATTTGAAGAAGCACAGTAGGAAGACTATTGAAGCCTTCGAACTTGCTGTTGAAGAAGATTCTTGAGAATATTGTGGGCAGCCAAGAAAACAAATGAATCATCAAACAATTCAACCCAGAGTTCTTAACTGAGACACAGATTACCAGGCTGAAATTATTCTATTTTGGACACAGTATGCAAAGATCTAAGTTTTTGGAAAATGTTGGAATGCTAGGAAAGACAGAAAGAAAGAAAAGAAGGTGGCCAGTAGCAATGTGGCTGGGCTCAGTTACAGTAGTGATCAATGAACCTTTGGAAGGCCTGAAAGACCAAGTTAGAGATAAATTGTCATGGAAAAAAATCTCTGTATTCATTAAGAGTTGAAAACAACTTGATATAATCACTTAGTGGTCTAACTTTCATATTACACTGAGTCAGGCATTCACCAGATTTTAGATATGCTTAACTATTGGTGATAAAGAAATACATTTGAGGATACTTGCTTATACTGGGAAAGAAATAAAACATTGCCGTAAAGAAATTGGATGACATTATTTTCTTTTCCCAAAATTCCTTTGCTCACAAATTCGAGGATCTGGGTTTCTAATTATAGATATGTTTTGGTGTCCATGGTCAGCATACGCTAAATATTTCTATCTATCACATAATTCATCAAAAATATCATTCACCAGGACCCATCTCCAGATTCTAAGAAGTCTGCATGAGATATTATGCAGTTAGTGCAGTTAGTGTTTAACTGCAGTTTCTTAACATGAACATATATTTTAAATCTCAGTGTATAGAAACTACGTAGGTTAGACTTAACTTACATTTATACAACTTATTTATTTGTTGTGGGGAACATTCTCATAAATACCTAACTTTCTCCACAGTAGTTCAAGTAAACATATATTTATCATAATACAAATTATTTATAGGAAAATCTATGTGGAAAAATTGCTATGCCTGCAAATTGATTCCCCCTTCCTCAGTTCCAGAACAATTAAAATAAAATAAAATAAAATAAATTAAATAAAATAAAATAAGTGCAGGAATAGAAAGATAATGACTTATATTAGCCTATAATTACCTTGCTGTTGAAGGCATGAATTGAAAGTTGTATAACTAGTCACTGCAACATCATGCATTCTTTAAAAAGTACACATTAGTTTTTACTTATAACATTTAAATAACTTCATAATATAATGGACTTACTTGGAAAAGATCTCCATTCATGTTGCTGACCTTTTTGTTGTTTTTTCCCCCCTGAGCACTAATGAACAGTATTTTTCCTAGAACTTGAAGATATGAGCAATTTTACAGTGTTTGCAGGATCTTCTGCAAACTATGAACACACAAATTTAAAGCTGAGTTTACAACTGAAGGTTACACCCCCCTTTTGATCTCAATTCTTTGGCAGAGTTTGGACAAAGGTGGGGTTTTCTTCACACACCCTCTACACCACCCCCTTCAACTCTAAAGGCATCACGGTTTGGCCATGAGTTGCAAAAGCCAAAACTGGGCTCTTTTGTTCTTCTACATGTGCTTTCTGTTTGGATGACAGCCTGAATTATTTCTTGTCTTCTTATGGTTTGCATTGTGCAACTCTGTAATTTCAGTTCTGGAAATATTCCTTCCCTACCTATATGAACCAACCATAACAATGTTGCTCGCTGGTAGCAATACCAGAGAGGCTTCTGCAGATACTTTTTAGATCCTAAATGGATGATCCAACCAAACAGGACGTCCAAATAATAGTTTATTCATATTTATTTCATCATTTGAAATAAATATTTATTTCATCATGTCATTAGAGGGAGAGAATCTTTTCATCATTTATTTCATCACGTCATTAGAGGGAGAGAGTCTTTTATTGCCCAATCCTGAGGCATACATTCAAATTTAAATGGGCACAAATTCCCTGTGAATAAAATCACAAAATTAGCAAGAACATAAATTATATTTTCCACATCTTGATCTGCCTGTCTTCACAGAAGTAAGAGTATCAGATTGCTAAATTTCACAAGATTCCTGTCACTTATTTTCAGGTAATCAAACATAAAATTGTAGCCAACTGATAGTGAAATGAAGGTACTTTCAGTTCTCCCCATGTTTTCCATCTGTTTGTACAAATTGCTGTCTGAACTACACAGTTCTGCAAGAAATGAGTTCAGTGAGACTCCCAAATGAGCAGGTAGAAGGAGTGCAGATCTCTTAAGCAGGATGAAACAGACCAAATGAAATCAGGACACATCGATTGCAATGATCACTAAAACAGCTTCCCAAGGTCACCCTGCGCCATTATGAAATAGGACAACCAGCTCCCCCAGAGGCAGTACTGGGAGACAATGAGAAGCAAGTGACAAACCATGACCAAACCCTGCAACTTAAGTTTTTGCAACAAGATACAACCAAGTAGAACAGAGATGGCCTCATGATACAGTAATACTGTTGTCATTTTGAAGCAATCTTGGTTTGCAGCAGACTCCTATTTTCTTATATATCAAAACCAAAAAAATAATATAATTTAATAATTGCTTGACATTTGTAGAACTTTTCCTACACGCCTGGGACACTAGATTTCCCAGTGAGTATTTTTGACTAGGATCAAGCAGGATATTAATCTTTTTTTTAAAAAAAAATCTGCCTTTTATTTAGTTCTCCATTCTTCTTTGGATACATGTGGCTCACAATTTTAATTATTTGTTAATGCTGGCCTCTCTATGAAGCTTGTGCAACTGTAAAAACAGGATGATTTTAATACAAAAGACAACGTGTGGATGTTATATTCAGGAATGAGGATAACGCCAATATTTTTCTATAAATTTTATTAAAAACTTTAAAAAGAAAATAAAAACTAACCAAAATTGATACATAATAAAAAAGGCAAAGAGAAAGAAAGGGAAGGTATAAAAAATAGAAAGAAACTTTAATTTTCTTGTAACAAATACAAGTGATTAAAATTTAACTTTTGCTCTATGGTTATAAAAAGGCTGTCTTTTTTCTATTATCTAATATTTTCTAATCATCAAAACCATAAATCAAAAGTTTGTTTTCCATTTCATGCAAAAGGTTTATAAGTTTATAGTCAGCAATAAATATATTGTAGATATTGTCTTCTCTGTAATCAAAGAAGTCAATTTAGCTATCTTTGCAAGTTCCATCATCCTCACCAACCATTCTTCCATTGTGACTAGTGCCAAACGCTTTCCTCTTTCAAGCATATAATAATCTTGCTGCAGTTATTATATATAAAAACAAAGTTCCATTACTTTTTTCTAGCTGCGTATCCATTAATCCCAAAATACAGGTCTCTGGTTTCAATTGTACATTACTCTTTAGAATCTTCTGAATTAGTGCATGTACTGAATCCAAAATTTTCTGGTTTTTATCATCCACCAAACATGATAAAATATCTCTTTAGGATAGATAAAGCCAATTAATGGGAACATGGCACAAAAAATAGTTTGCTAGGGCATATTTTTACTTACATGATTGGGCGCAAGTAGGGAGAGGCCCACAAGTCTTAAGACAGACTGAAAAGGGACAATAATTCCAAATTATATTCACTGGTAGTTCACTTTGTATGTAGATACTGGATTGCCACATCCTATGATGCTAGAGCGACAATATGTCCTATTTGTACAGTTTGGGGTGTTCATAGATTTACATTTCCTGTTCAGGAAGTGGGTGGCTATTCTGACAAGGAAGGCCTTTACACAAATTCGTCTGTAATTTATTATGTGTTTATCAAATTTTGAAACCACCCATGTCCCTCAACAGAGGAACTACCTGGAACAGGTGGCTTAGGACAGTTGGTCATCGTGTATTTGAATTAATGCAGTGTGCTTTTTATGGAGCTCCCCTTGAAAACCACTCAAAAGCTAGGACTTTCCCTGAAAATAAGACCCAGTCCTTTTTTTGCCTCCAAGAGGCACCAGGCGTTATTTTTGGGAGGTGTCTTTTCCTCGGTCTCCCCTCATGGCTGTGGCACCAACAGCCCCATCAGCCCACTTCTTCTCCGGCCGCCACTCGTGCACTTCACCCCCAGCCTCCATTTTACCGTCAGATTCAATCCATAGCTCAGTTCTTGGCTGCAGAGACCTTTCCAGAAGGTCTCTGATGTCAAAATGCAGGCTGGTGTCGATTCATGGGAGGCCTGGCTGCAATGGTAAGTGGGTGTGGGACGCATGGGGCAGCTCCACCCCCCCTAACTTGATTTTTAGGTGTGCACCTTGCCCCCAAAACTAGGGCTTATTTTTAGGGTAGGACTTAGGCCCCAAAATCTAGCTCTTACCGTATTTTTCTGTCTATAAGACGCACCCTTGTATAAGACGCTCTGGCATGCGAGTTTCTCTGTGCCAATCAAATCTGCAAGTTCGGCCAGCCGACAATCTTGCTCCCTCCCCCTCCCTTTAGTGGCAAGCCCACAGCGGCTTGACACCTGCACCCGGCGGTACGGCAACCCACACAGGCATGCCCTAGGCTGCGGTGTTGGAGTTATTGGGTTATCTGGCCTGCTAGGCTGAGTCATTAGCTGCAGTAGGCCAAGGTATGAGGAAGTCGGAAGTAAAAAAGATTGGAGTAAACAACGTGCCGTGCGGTGCAAAGGAATGTGTTTTGGTCTTTTGTTGGTGCCGGGTGTAACAGCTGTATAGTAGCGTCTGCAAAACAAAGCTAGCACATGTAATATGCTAATATGCTGTGTCATAACAAATGTGGTTGGTGTAAGGTGGTCACCAGGTGCATATAAACCCGCCTTCTGATAACACAATAAAAGGGATGCTTCGGCTTTGTTTGGGGCTCCCATCCCGAGGAAACCACGTGTACGTGTCTGTTCTTCTACACCCATGGGAGACCGCTGGGCGCGTGAAAACCCACACTGCGGAGGTTACCATTATTTTTCTGTGTATAAGATGCTGCATTTGTATAAGACGCACTTGATTTTTGAACAGGGTGTTTGCAGGAAAAAGCATCTTATACACGGAAAAATACTGTATTTTCAGGGTAGGTCTTACTTTTGGGGAATCACGGTAGTTATGAGCATGCTATGGCACATGCACATCACCTCTGCTTTGTGAGCTGTACAGTTGTACCAGTACAGTAGGTTTCTTAGTGCAATTCAAGGTGATGCATAAAGCCCTTCATGGCATAGGCTGGTTATTTGAATGGCCATCTGTCTTCCATAGCTTCTTTCCTTCCTAAATGATGACGCAGTCAGCAAGCTTTGCATACCATCAAATAGATAGTATCACCTGATAGGGACAAGGAAATGAACCTTCTCTTTTTCAACACTTGCCCTCTGCAAAGAGGCCTCCAAGATTTGCATAGCCCCCACTTTGACCCTATTTAAATGAGCCCCTAAAACCTGGTTCTTCCCACAGGCCTAGGATTAAAGTAGTTGGTGAACTTCTCTGTTTTGATGGTGCTGGTACTCTTTTTATGGATACTTCTTTTATATGCTCTCTATATTATTTTACTTTAACTATTTCACGTTAAGGTAGTCCTAGACAAGTTATTAATTAATTTAATAAGTAAGTAACATAAAACAATCTTTTTTAAGGCGTCCTCTGTTTGAAAAAGTACTTGAGCTATCCACATTTAAAAGAGAAATAACATCAGACAAAGTCTTCAAATTATCCATCTAGGTGTCGGCCTTTTGCAAGTGGGGGCACAGTTGGATTGTCAGGCTGGAGAGCTGAATGCTTGCAATGGTTCATACATTTCTTCTTCTTCGTACAAGGATTGTTTTGTCAGCAGATGGCACTCTGTCTACATGAGTTTACAGAAATCGCACTCTGGCATTTTGCTTTAAATACATCATAGAGCTGGAACCAATGCAAATAAACAGCACCAGACAGAGCATGAATATAAGGAACTGCAATCCCTCTGCACCTGTATCAGCACCTGCCACTCTCTTCACTCTAGTTAATTGAGTCAATATGGATTGGGCTCACTACAACATCCAAGTGCCACCATTTTTCAAGCTTTTTGATCAGTACGCAAACAAGCAACACTTAGCAGGGCTTTTGGTCAAAGTTATAAACACAAGAGGTTAGTTAATACTGAATGGTGCTCAGTTTTGTCTACACTGGTTGGCAGTGGTCCCCTTCTAGGGTTTCAGGCATATTTTCCAAACCACCTTGAAGGTACAAGGACCGTTCTTCAGACCTGTTGTGTGAAAAATATGAGGGGAACACACCAATTACTGTACTGAATCAAAGGTTTCCATACATTTGACAGACACAAATATGTAGCCTGGGTTAATTTTAATCAATCAATACATGAACAGGTATAATGTTTTTGATTCATTTATTTAACTGGGTTCTTTGTATCTAAGTTTAGGTCTTGTGTGGAGAACAGATCTTATT